GCACTGCTGTGCATGCATCACTCCCTGCAAAATTAAACATCTTCTCTGTCCCATCATTCCCTCCCCCCAAAACCAACATGACAACTGAAGTGCCTGTATCTTTCACCAAGTCAAACAAAACATTCACCGGGAGTTTTAAACTTTCCCCTTATTTTGTCTTTTCAACCTACGTTTAATGTCTTCACTCATTGTATTGCGTTGCAATTAGATTGAAAACTCCTTTTTGCATAAACTCTGATCTTATTTTTGTCTATAAAAGGGGAGACTGGTTCCACATAAAAAATACATCTTCTCTGAAGGAGACTCATTGGATTCCTGTACCATTGGTGGTTTTGCAGAGTCCCCTTCCGCTGATAAGGAATCAGCTTAATTGGCATTAAACAATGATAATGAAAGTTACTCAGATTATGTTCCAGCTGTAAAGGGTTTTATTTTAGTTTTGTTATGGAAAGGAGTTTCTATCTGGTAAGTAAATGAGCTAGGGATGTTAAATTTTGATTAATCAATTAATTGAGTAGTCAATGGAATTTCCATCAATTACTCTATAAGGGGGGTGCTCGCTATCTCGCTGTGCCTCCGCCTTCAAAATGTACAAGAGCTGCCCACGCCATTTTCCCGCTGCGCCTCTGCCTCCCTGCCTAACCATGGAGACAGTGCTCGGGGGAAACCAGCTTTTAAGCCAACTCACCTCAGCACTGGCTCCTGCTCCCGCCTCCTTGCTGCCCCTCTCTGATAGAGGCAGCGGGGGCGGAAAGCAACTAGTCAAGTCATTATTCAACTACCCAATAAACATATGCTTATCGGGTACTCGATTAGTCACATCTCTAAAATGGACTTCTTTTTGGAGTACTGCTTATAGCCACACTACCTTTAATTCACGGGGCCCATTGGAGTACCAAACTCCCCCTGTACATCTGTCTAGCAGCAGATGTATGACAGAACAAATTGTTAAGGATTTATATTTAACCAGTCAAATCACACTTGGAAGTTTGAAAGAGACAGGAAAATCATCTAATACAAAGTTATTTTGTTCTGCCATAGCATCAAGGCACTATAAGAGACATTCAACCTCAACCCTCCAATACTGATTTTTTAAAAATGGTATAATTTAAAAAAAAAAAGCTGCTAATTCATAAGACCAGTATTTGTTTCCAATATTTGTGTACAACCCTGGTCCTAATACACACCAGCCTGATTTTCTTTTGCTACCATCCACATCATCTAGGTGTCACTCACCATCTAAGTAATCACGCTCCATCATGCTCCCTAAGGAAAGACACAGGATGACTAAAAAGCATTCCTATAAATGCCAACCTCCATTATCCATTAAAATACTGAAAGGTACTTCAGAGGGATTGTCTGCACCATTGATTCAACTCCTTCACAATGATTTGGGGCTATTGTAACAGATTTTCTAATACTTTCATCCCTTGCATGTCTCCAAGGGAGGGAATAGTGTGATCAAAGTTTGGGTCCATCTTCAGATTATTCCCATGTGTAAAGTCATGTTCAATCAAAATGTGCGTGTACTGTTTTAATTCTGTTTTGATTTTATTAAAACTTTCACTGAATTGAGAATCCATATTCACCAAAAGTTCCTCAAAAATAGAAGCTAAATATGTTCTAGAACAAATATTTTCATAAGCTAGCTGCTAGCAAAAACATTCACTGAACACAAATTCATGTTCTGTTCCAGAAGACAAATTAACTTGCTATACATGGGAAAAGGTTGGAGGTAAATGTATCTATTATAGAAAAACTTAAACAACAATGGTCCTGTAATACCGTAGAGACTAACCAAAAATATATATAGATAGTAGCATGAGCTTTCGAGGGTACAACCCATTTCTTCAGATGACAAATATGGAGCAAGAGGCACAGAGGGTCAAATATAAAGCAAAAAGAGGGGGAAGGAAGGAAAAAAACCCAGTCAATTAAAGTGTCCGTGCTAAATTAGGTTAATTATCTATATATTATAGAAAATTCAAAACAACAAATGGTGATTGTTCCTTTTGTTAATATTAGAAGAGAATAAATCATTTTATTTAAACAACAAATGGTGATTGTTCCTTTTGTTAATATTCGAAGAGAATCATTTTATTCGATTATATTCTACTAACACGTGAATGTTAAATATTACCCTAAGCTAAAATCTACATGTGCGCTTTAATAGCAAATCAATTTCTTTTTAAATCACACATTCATAGCACTGGCACTAACATTTTTGCTGTGCATCAGAATTACACAAAACATTATCTGACATCCTAATACACAAGACAAATACAAAATCAAAGAACATGAAAATTGTTTCATTGCTAGAGATACGCACCTGCTCTGAGATGGAGAAAAATCTCAAATAAACCAAGGAAATAGAATTTCAGGCTGCTCAAAATGTCTGTAAAATATCAGAATTTTGTATTGAAAAGTTTTTAAATTAGTATTTTCAATTCTTACCCTCCAGAGTAACTTATTTTATCAAATGGGTCTTTTAAAATACACATTAAAATAGAGTATTGAAAGTACTCATTAAATAGCTGGTTATTTACATCAATTTTAGTTTATATTTATTCAAGCCATAATGCTATATATTTTCAAAGACCTATTTCTTTCTCTGATGTCTCCTACCTGAATTATGTAGTTCCAGTACTGTTTGGTGGAGTCAAAGACTGCTGTAATTTATAGTCAATTGACAATATGCAAAGTAGCTTACACTTAGATCTGCTCTTTTCTGGTTTAGCTTTTTCCACCCACACTGTAGCTATAATGGCAACAAATATTAGAATTATGGGATAGAAAGTTTACATGTATTAGCTACAACTGAGCTACCTTAGAAAATAATCAGCAATATTCTTTATGTATACGCCTTTGATCCATATGCTATAGCAATTTGCTGTAATAAATGCCCATTTCATTCAGTAGAATTTTACATCCAAATATTTAATAGAATAAAAGCCAGTGAGCACTTCAGTTAGATTTCCATTGTTAAATAGAGACATGTCAACATATTTGAGCAAGAGAATATACCAAGTGGGTAGCTGCAACTAGATTGATTTTATGGTAGTGTCACAGATGGTCACGTAGCTGTTTGCGTAGCTGAAGTCACGTAGATTAGCTCAATGGCAGGGGGTTAATGTAGACAAGCCTTTAATCTAGTATCAGGATAGAGCCTGAACAAAGAACCAGAGAAATCTAATAGATTTTTAGCATTCTTACCAGCAGGTACAACTACTGTGGGCAGCTACTGTTACCTATTGTGCCAAATGACTTTATACAAAAAAAACTTACACTAAGAACTTGTGTATAATACTAACTAAAATACAGTATGTATAAATTAACTCATTTTGAAAGCCTCAATTCTAGAGTCTAGTATAAGGAGCTGACCTTTTTTTAAAAAAAATTCCGGAGCCATTTACTAATCAGACCTTATATAGATCATAAGATTGCAGTCTCTCATCTTGAATACTTGAAATACATAGTCAAATTAGTGACAGCTAATCCACTACTCAGAGACACATGCATACACATACTCCTCTTTCCTGACAGCAAGTAGTCCTGGGGCACGTTAGAGTGTAACGAAAATATATAGTACCATGAGCTTTTATGAGCAAAACCTACTTCATCAGATGAGATGGACTCCTACAATTGACTCCCCCCCCCCACACACACACACCCTAGTTATAAATAACTTGGTTTCTGTTATTTCTACTCCAGTTCATCATCTGATGAAGTGGGTTTTGCACACAAAAGCTCATGATACTATATGTTGGTTAGGTTTCTAAGCTGTCACAGGACTACTTGTTTTTAAAATTACAGAATAGCATGGCTACCCCTTTGAGTCTTCTTTCCTTGTGCAGCCCATTCAAGTCTTAAGAGAACACATTCTGCTTGAAGCAGTCCTTGCATCAGAACAAAGATTAATCTTTGAGATTCAAAGTGTCCTCATGCTTTCACACTAGGGACCCTTCATGTAACTTCACTTCTTGATGGCTTGCAAGGGAAGGCAGGCAAAAAGCAGTGCTTCTGCCACAGCTGCTATATGAAGAGACAGGCAATAGGCATCCTTGCAACAAGAAGTTGCAACTATTTCTCCTCTATGGACGTCAAATGCATCATTATCCCAACAAATTTTGAAGTCACCAATTTGGATCCTGGGGCAGTGGAAGGGTAGGAAGGAAGAGGTAGACTAATAGTTCCTGAACACGGATTACTTGTGCTGCCTGCCAGCCAACTGCTGTTAACCATTAATTGGTTAGTGGCTACAACATGTTGCTGAGATTTCCTTTTTTGGTTTGGATTTAGGGTTTTTGTACATACCCATTATGATTCTGCTAGTATTGAAGTGTGTATTTGTGAAGTCAGTACTCCTGAAAGGGACTGAAATAACGAAAGACTGCAATCTCTGTCTGCAAAGGGTAAGAGCAGTGCAAACATCCGTATCTGGCCCTCCTAATGCGTTTCGAGTGCTGATATGGATGGACTAGCTCTTTAGGTGTAACAGACAGTTTATGTTTCCATGCCCATTCAGTCCTCCACCTTGCTGTCTAATATGCCAAGAATACCATTCAGTACTAACTGATGATTTTATGTGAATGCTCACTAGAAACTAGACAGAGGGAACCCATTTCACATAGCCCAGAGCCCTCAAAAGGATCAGCCTGACTGAGACTGGATTTGAATCAGATGTTAGAGGCACTCTGTATACTAGCAGTTTGAGGACTTCAATATTTGAGATATAGATGAGAGGATTATTCTAGAAGAGGGTGGGTGAGATTCTGTGGCCTGCATTGTGCAGGGGGTCAGACTAGATGATCATAATGGTCCCTTCTGACCTTAAAGTCTATGAGTTTACTGAACCATCCTATGCCTTGCCCAAGCACTGAACATTCACAAACAATGCACATCATTTGTAATTGTAAGCACATTTTGCAAAGTTATTTTAAATATGAAATTTACATGCAGTGCGATGAGGGACAGAAATGATGAAATACAGACACTGCAAATAGGTTTTTCAAAAATCATGATAATCTTTAATTGTTCCATTCCAAAGAGGATATAAGAAAGTTGCCCTTAGCCAGTAGCTGTATACCTCAGCATCACAGTTAAAAAAATACACCTAACTCCCAAGACAACAGAAGATGCTGAAGAATGTGCGCCTTATACCATCAATCCAGACAAATACAGAGTTAATTTTTTAAATATATACTTTTTCATACACTGACTCCTGAGACTTTATCCATGAAGAGACAGGGATGAGATTTATAGATAGCGTACACAATATACTAAATGGCCAAAGCAAAATGGTAAAGCACTGTCTTCATATGCATGGCATTAGTTTACTTACATCACGATACCTTAATTGTGCAGCTTATCATCAATGGTCATTGTCCATTTAAGTTTTGCCTTCAGAGTGCAAAGATCAGCTGCCATACAAACATCTTCAAAATAACAGCAGAAGAAACCAAATGATGAACACTACTTGCCAATGTCTGATAGGAAAACTACACTGCAAGATTTAGATTTCCAATACATCGCATAAAACAGTGAGGAGAAAAACCAAGTATATTTACAGAAGTTCACTGGGTCAAGTGGTTAGTGTGTTATAACTGATCTTTTGTTACAGTATATGCTCCCTGGTGCTTTTTAAATTGTATAAGTTACATTTAAAAACATCTTAAATCATAATAAATATGATACCATGATTACATCCAAATATACCTTAGTGAAGGATTTTTTTTTTTAGTTGTTAGTAAACGTCATTTTTAAAAAATGTAAAGAATTATCAGCTGTTGGCTAATTAACTTTATTTTGTTTATTTTTGATAGCTTCCACTCCGGTATATTCTTACAAAGTTAACACTTGTTTGTTGCAGTAACAAACTATTCAAAAGAACCTTCAGAAGTGGTAGAGTCAGGAAGACATAAGTCAGTTCTTTCTGTTAGTCCATTTTACTTTCTTCTGGTCATCACTGAATTAGACAATTAACTGAGCACAACATGACGGTCAAAGACAGATTTGCGCTGCTCTTGGACCTGCAGCTTCCAGCGTTGCTGGGCATACTCCACTTTATTCAATACATTGGCCCGACTCCGAGAACGCGCCAGCACATCGTGAGCATTTGCAAAAGGTTGGTGATCCTGGAATTGCAGAAAGCAATATTTATATTTCAGCAATTTTAATGCATAAGTATTTGTTAGTTACAATATTCTTATGGATAAAAGGTTATTTAAGTTTGGTAGGCAGCAAGACTGTAAACTTAAATTGTTTTCTAAAAAAATGTTGATCTGGATTACCTATATAAAATAAATTAGTGTTATGGTTTGCAGTACCTTTCAATATGGTTAGTGTCCCAAAGTACTAAGTTATGGTCATATGGAATCTGATCATACATTAGTGAAGTCCCTGGGAATTTAAATCACCAAGTTCAATGGGAACAGTCACTGCTGACTTGTAGGCAAGCAAGAGCACCACCACAAACTCAAAAATAACATGCACCCAGCTTTACATACATTAGCACCTGTTTGAACACACAGCCTGAAATAGCTGACCAAGACACTCAGATGCTCCCATTTGTTTTATGGTGGTATTTCAATTTAAAACTGAACTGAGGAGTCTTTCCTTAGCCAGCACTCTACCAGATCCTATCCTGTTATCCTAAAGTAATTTTGGATAGTCATACAAAGATGCCATATAATACCTAAACACTGATGTTTACTGTCACTAAACCAAACCCATTGTGCTACGAGCGTAAATACAGCTGTTTAAGTGACAAAGAAATGAGCAACTGAGTGTTTGTTTAGCATTTAGGCTGTCCCTTTTCTAACAGTATCTGCAAAGCTGAATTTATTTACTGGAAAAAAAACCCAAGTCATAAACAAAGACATTTGGAACAGAAACTTTTATTTGGCTACCAAAATGTTTTGGACAAAGAAAATTATGTTTTAAAAAACTACATTAGAAAAGGTCATATGTATGGTGCGTTTCAGATGAAAAACACTATTACAAACGATGTCCTGTATTAACCCAGCAAAAAAGAGATTCAATTTTGAAGCTTGAGTATTTCTATATCTTGCCTTGTTTTATTGAAAAGAAAGTTTTCACAAGTGGCTATTTTGTGACCTGATGTTGAATACAGCAACTCCGTGATCAGCTATACATTTCTCCCTTAAATGGATTATTATTAATTATCTATATTGGGGTAATACTTAAGATGCCCCAGTCATAGACCAAGGCCCCATTGTGTTAGGCACTGTACAAAACAAAACATTTCCTTCCCCAAAGAGTTTACAATCGAAGTATTAGAGAAGAGACAATAGATGGATATAGATGAACCAATGGGGGAGCAAAAGACACATTAGAAAATACTGGTTAGCTTGATAGAAGGTCTCAGCACAGCAGATGACTAACAACTTTATTAACAAAACGAAAGATAGTTTTATGGAGGAATTCAAAGGAAAACACTGGAGAGGCTTTCTAGACTTTCCCTAGGAGCACCCCCGTCCATGAGGGGCAGCACACGAGAAAGCACAGAGGTGCTTGTTTGAAAGTTTAGCAAGATGGAGATGAAGCCAGGCATCACTGACCAATTGAAAGCAAGAGATGACATCTCGACTGAGAGGTGATGATAGGTATAGTGGAAGACAGCTTGCAAAGGCCTTGAAAGTTGAAACAAGTAGCTAACACTTGATTCAGAGAAGGGGAAAGCCAGTCAACCAATGAAAAGGGAAGGGGAACATGGTGATAACCAGGAATGATGAAAATTATTCCTGCATCATTCTGAATGGATATAAACAGGCCCATTTGTCAAGGCCAAAGATGATATTGCAGTAGCCAAGACAGGAGATAGAAGCTTGGACAAGAGTTTTGGTTTTCTAGGTGGAGAAGTAAGGCCGGGTTTTAGAGATGTTATTCAAAAAGAAGGAGCAAGAATCTGACATAGATCTAGATTGGGACAAACTGAAGAGGTCATCTAGGTTACAGGTACCCATGGCAGCAAAGATGGAGGTGTTGTCAACAGTGATTATGCTGCAGAAAACTTCTTACTGCATGTGGTCTACTGGGCATTTTAAAAATTCCTGATATATAATGCAGCTTCATAGTGCTACTTGCAAATAACAAATACTCAGTGGTGCCTCTTATTACAGACTTTAACAGGAGCAGATTAATGCTGAGCACTTCTGAAAATCCCTCCCTTACAAAAAAAATCTTTTCTGCCCCAGCCTGGTCATGACATCTGCATGGATGGACTCCTTGGTCCATCCAAAACTCTGCTGACTGATAGAGGCTGACCACCTAGACGGCCATGCAGAATCAGAGCCTTAGACTCTAGCTCTGCATTGCATTATAAAAGTCAAGCTACAGTAAACAAATACTAAAACATCTTTAGTATCTAACTGAGGTAATCAGGCATATTTCAAACCCCAAGTACACTGTTGTAAAAGTTTTGTATTTTCAGAAATTATAAATTACCAGATAGTTTTATATTGCAATTAGGTATGCAACAAAGTTCATACAGAGGTTTTTTTCATATTAAATGTTGCTTTTAAAAAAAAAAAAAGAAAAAAGAAAAATACAGGGGCAGAAGATTTGTAAAAATGTTGGTCTAAAGTGTGTTTTCACTGCCTGGAGTTTAAATGCACCACACACAAATAATGATGACCATCCCAAACTGACAGCAAGGAATTCTTGTGTGCAGGATGTCAAACTGAATAATCACAATGGTCCCTTCTAGCCTTGGAATCTGTGGTTCTGGTCCTCTTATGATTAGAGAAAACAGTTTAAAGATTTTAACATGACTTATTGTTTTCATGATTATCAGTTGTACGTAAATGTTTAATGTTGACTACTGTAGTTATTTTTCCAGAATAGAAACATTTATAATTGTTTACATCTTTTAAAAATAAGATTGCTTATCAACATGGCAGGGTAGTAAACCAATATGACAGAATTCTGAGATCTACTTTTCAGTTTATGCAGGATGACAGTAGTTCTTTCTATATTAAAAAGTGTTCAAATGACCACACAAAGTATGACGGAAGCAAGTTTCTCATGCACTATATAAATAACAAATACAGAGCATGAATGTAAACCAAGTCTAATTCATTAGGGCTTGACTATTGACCAAGTTTGCTATGGATTTAAAACTATTAATGTGACTGCCACACGACACTTTTGGGTTTTTAAACAGACTTCACTATAAACAAAATGGCCATGAGTTCCCTACGTTTCTGACACACCTTTTAGTGTCGCTGCATTGTTAACTTACTATTTACTTTGAAGCAATGTTAATATTCTTAAAGGTCATGTTTTAATGGCATAACAAGCACCTTTTAATCTTTTTATTCTGTTTCCTATTTTGTTTTTTTTTTAAACCACACTAAACTGGACTTTAAGTGGTCACAGCTGCTGGCAGACTTAGACCCCCCTTTTTTTTCCCCCCCCCCCCCCTTTAAATTCCTTTAAAATTACAGTATGCTCAAAAATGTGCTTTAATTCTACTGTCAATGTTGTTTGGTTGTACATTATGGTAAATAAATCAGTGTATTTTATAGACTTGATAAATTGTTTTATACATTTAGCAGTTACTTTAAGCATGGATTAGAAACCTTACATACTTAATAGTTCTTAGACTGTTTAAACAATTATGTTTGCAAACTTCCCGTGAGAAATTTAAAAAACAAATAGTCTTGCAGCACCTTAGAGACTAACAAAAAATGTAGATGGTATCATGAGGTTTCATGGACACAATCCACTTCTTCAGATGAATGGAGTTTAAGGGGTCCAGTTTTCAAATAAATAGCACAGAGAGGAGATAGTGGTGAAGAGGAGGAAAAAGAAGGGGGAAAGAAATTGTCAGAGTGTCCATGCTAAATTAAGCTGATAAGATCATTTCATTTCATCCTGTCTGCCACCAGCGGCCAATACTAGATGCCCCAGAGGGAGGGAACACAACAGGAAATCCTCACATGATCCCTTCCCTGTCATCCATTCTGGAAGTGAAGAAATGGTCTTGGTGATGACACACTACTTTCTACAACAGAGGAGATTTTCAGCACTCTCTTGAAAGATAGCTGTTTTTCCATTAAAAACTCTTCACAAGTAAGTGTTCAACTGCATTCATTCAAGTCAACTTACCCCAATGTCTTCATCACTTTGTATCAGTTGTGAATGTCCAAAGAGACGTCTCTTCAGTATAGGTTCTACCAATGTAAGGTACACCATATACAGTAACAGCAGGCCCAAGATGGACAAATAGATTATTATTGTAACCTGCACACAGTGAAATACAAGCACAATTTACACTACTACTGAGAACTTACTCCACATAATACTCTCAAGACCAGGGCAGCCAGCCAAAGCAAAAGAACAAGATACACAAAATGCCTATAAATCAGTCAGTAGGTCTGCTTTACAATAGTTAACCTTGACAATGTTTCTAAATTAAACAAAAACCCTCAAGAAATTACACCATAGACACGTTGACCCAAATAATATTAACATGTCTGGCATGAATGACCCCCCCCCCCCAAAAAAAAAGGAAGTTCACAGTTTAAGACAGAATTTCATCTTAAACTAGACTTTCTTGAGATCTCAAGCTCCTGCTCTGAAAAAGAGTGGTGAGAAAAACTTCATCTCAAAATAAGACTAACATTCAAGTTTGGGTTGTGAGCTGGTGATTCAGGGGGCTCTCTTTACAGTCAAGCTTGTTTGCCTCTATTCAGTTAAATTAGGCTTGTGCAAGAAACACACTACAGGCAGTCCCCAGGTTACGTACAAGATAGGGACTGTAGGTTTGTTCTTAAGTTGAATTTGTATGTAGGTCGGAACTGGTACATATTGTAGGGGAAACTCTAGCCAAACATTTCTCCAGAGCTCAGTTTTATTCTCCCACACCTCACTTCCCTCAGTCCTTTATTCTCAAGCTGAGGTGTCTGCTAAGAAAAGCCGCTCTGCGTCTCCCTGGTCTGCTGGGGAGGGGGGCGCTAGCTTCGCGTCTCCCTGGTCTGCTGGGGGGAAGCAGCTAGTGCAGGGTTACCTCACCCCGTTTGTAAGTAGGGATCGGATGTAAGTCGGATCCATGTAACCCGGGGACTGCCTGTAATAAGGTCAATGGGGGCGGGGTGGCGGGGAGAGGAGACTCAGTTTCAGTGCATAACAAAATTTAAAATCCATGCTTCAAAACCCACTTTAAAACCCTCTCCATAATCTGCTCTCCCAAGAGAGAGAGACAAAACACATGCAGGGGAGGAAAAATGAAGGTATGAAGGAGGCAGACAGAGATCAGGTTTGAGGACATCCTAGAAGTTGGTTGCCTGCCCAAACATTTTGAGCTCATTTTTACAAAATTCACCCTTTAAAGCTAGCACGGGTGATTACCTAATTTGATTTATAAGGGTCTGGCATCACTATCAACACACCGGAGAATAGTTAGCCAACTGTGTTTGCCAGGCTAGCAAAAGATTCAGTTTAGTAACCAAGCCCCCCCCCCCCACACACACACACACAAGATACTAAACCCATGAACTGATAAAAATACCCAGAATGCTTAGAACAAGAAGAATCCCCCTTTGCAAACGTCATGAATGGTAAGTTGAGACTAAGCCACTCAACAGAGTTCCTTTAAGCCTGACAATTCAGCCTTAACTATTAGTGCTACTGCAGTTCTGAGTAGGGATGTTAGCTGTAATTTAATTTAATAATCGTGTAATCGCACCAAATCTTAGCAGTTACACAATTATTCGATAGTCTCCGGGGGTAGGGCCAACAGCTAGTGCACTCCCAGACCCATTCTCAAGGAGCCCCCGACATCTCACGCTGCTGCCTCAGCTCCCCCCAGCTCTGGCTTTTGCCTGCCCCCCCCTGCCTCTGTGGAGTCAGCACGCATGAAGAGCCATCTTAAAAGCTGTCTCCCCACGTATATCAGCTCCCGCCTGCCCCCTTACCCTCTGCATAACCAATAAACCTAGGGCTAGCAGTTAATCGTTTACATGGTTATATGATAACATCCGTAGTTCTGGGTTTGGGAGATTATGTGTTTTAATTATTATAATGCCTCCACAATGCTCAGAATGTTTGGGTTTTAAAGATACATGTACCATCTTTTATAAATATATTAGCTATCTGAAATGTTTTATATATAGCAGTGGAATGGCAATTTTACTTTAATTGTGACAGAGCTTCTCTCTTCATATTTGCATTCACAACGTAAGCAGTATGCCTCCACATCAGGTCCAGGGACAGGCATAGGCTCGACCACATGAAGACAATCGCTGGAGAAAGAAAAACAGCTTAGAGTCAGTTTGGTTAATTTTACCCCACTACTTAAACAGTTTTCACTGCTCTGAAAGCATGCAGATTCCACAGCAAGGGGCAAGAGAAGCTGATCTTTGCTTAAGAGTCAGAAATTCTACAGATTGAACCTCCAAAATCTGGGATTCTCTGGTCCAGGAACATCCATGGTCCAGCAAGACCACAGATGTTGCTGGATCAGAGAGCCCCAGTGCCTGTATGTGTGAACCCCATCCCCGGGGAGCCCTGGTCGGGTGGGGAAGAAGCAGAGCCACGCGGCTGGGGAGCCCCATCCCCAGGGAGCCCAAGCCGGGCAGGGCAGCATCCGGACAGACAAGCCCTGTCTCCAAGGATCCCTGCCGGTCGGGTGGGGGAGAAACGGGGCTGCAGAGGCTGAGGAGCTAGCAATGGTACTGGTGAGTGGTAAAAGTGGGGCAGCTGGCAAGCCCTGTCCCAGGGGAGCCCCGGCAGGAAGCGCAACAGCAGGCTAGCGGCAGGGGACCTTCCCATATCCAGCATTCCTTCATTTGGAACAGGTCCCAAGGGTGCCGGATAAGGGAGGTTCAACCTGGATCTCAAAAAGTTTAAGATTTAACTTTTAAACACTGAATTTAGTTAAGTGAGACAAATGAAATAGCGACTCAGCTGCTCAGGTTTAGTAAGCCAGCTAGAAAGTCTTATTAAAGCTAATACAGATGGTCTATTCCAAGGGTGCCCAATCTGTGACCCAGAGCCCACGGTCTCCTTCAACCCAATCTAGTTATTAATGTCCAATTCATTATCCCCGCATTTCTCAAACTGTGGGTCCCGACCTCCTGGGGGGTCGCGAGCAATTTAGAGGGGGGCCGCGGTATCACAAAGTTTGAGAACCCCTGCATTAGCCTTTTGACATAGTGTTCACATTATTTTAGTCCACTCAAGTGTGTACAAAGACAATACTATACACAGAAATATGTATGAACCAAGCTGAACTTAAAATATAATTCAATACAGATGCCTTTACATCTTATTGAAGTACATGAAAGCTATTGTGGTCCACACAAAGCTTAGCTATATGTGGTCCTCCTGTGCAATAACGTTGGGCACCACTGAGAGATATAAATGAAGATGCCACAATTAAATTGTGCAGCAGATTTTACTTCCCCCTCCCATAGGTCAGCACTTCCATTAGTTTTCTCAACATCTCAAAAACAATAATGGAGAACAGACATTTACTTCCCTGATTTTTAGCCATAACCAATACATAAGGAAAGCTCATGAACAGATCATTTCACATTCAGTATAACCAAGGAAGGAAACTATAGGAGGAGTTGTTTGTATTTTTTTCTTTTAAGTAACAAAAGCAATCTTGGACCCTAAGGGACAAAGTGTACTTTGACACAGACATCATAGCAAGGTAGGAGTCACTTTGCCAGCTTCTGTCCCTTTCTCCCTTCCTCACGTACATCAAACAGAGATTGTTTTATTCCCTTACCCATCTATTCAGGTTTAAGTCTCTTTGAGCAGAGACTATATCTTCTTACTAATCTGTATAGCACCTAACATTTCAGGAACTATTTAAAAAAGTTGAGAACTAAGTAACATCTCGAACTGTCTGAACAAAAAAGTTTTTAGTCTGGTATGTGAACAGAACTTCCATTTTTGCTAATGTGCATTGCATACATGTATCAGACACAGAATAAAGTTAGTCTTTTATTTAAATTAACATAAAGATGAACATTTGGGGACATGTTCAGTAGAAAGAAAAATAAAGGGTCAATCCCACACAGTATTTGGTTAAAAAATATAAAAAATATAAGGCTAGATCTTTGGGATGATCAAACTTTGGGCATATGACCCACAGTCATTACAAGTTACAGCACTGGACTCCAATTGTCCCAACACGATTGCTCTCTGCCAACACATTGTGTAATTCTAGGTCTTTCATTTAGTTACTGTTTGCTCAGAGTTCTTACCCTGACTCCCTTTTGGTGCATAACACTAATTTGGTACATAGCTTGAAATCACAAGAATCAACAGAATTGAACTGGTAAGGGAAAGTTTCCTTGAGTCCAAGACAGACTAGACTAGAGTGAAATTTCTCTATATAAAATGTATGCTAATTAATAAGACACAGATTTGGTCATGGACATTTTTTAATAAAAGTCATGGAGTGGTCAAGGACAATAAAGAAAAATTAAAGGACACCCATGATCTGTCCAAGACTTTTACTAAAGTTATTAACTCAGCTTTGGGGCAGGGATGTCATGGTGTAGACAACCACATGATTAACCAATAAGTCAAGGCTTATCTGTTAATCTTATCGACTACATGCATCCCCACCCCCAAAGAGCACTGGATCCACCTTGCCTCCCCCTGCACGTTGCTGCATCTAATAGAGAGCCAGCAGCATGGAGGGTTAGGGGGACAGGCTCAAACTGATAACGCAAGGGGAGCCATCTTTCAAGCAGGTTCCTCTCACGTGCTGGCTCTGCAGAGCCAGCTGCCCCTCCCAATGCAGCCTCCTACAGAGACAGTGGGATGGAGAGGCAGGCAGGAGCTGTGGGAAGCCATCTTAAAAGCCAATTCCACCCAGCACCAGCTCTACAGTGTGCCCTCCCCCTCCCTCCCCCCGCCATGCTGATGCCTCTAACAGATGCAGCAAGGGGGTGGGAGATAGGAGAGGCAGGCAGCAGCTCCTGTCCATGTGGGGGTTCGAGCTCCCCATGGACAGAGGCTACTCCCCATCCCAGAGAGCATCCTCTGTCAGTAGGGAGCTTGGACTCCCCGCCACAAGCAGGTGCTGCTACCACCACGCTTTACTGCCTCTGTATCAAGCAGGTTCCCCTTGAGGACCGGCTCCGCCTGCCACCCCGCACTGCTGCCTCTGATAGAGGCAGCAGCTCAGGGTGACAGGGGGCTCCCCAGGAGCATGGCCAGAAGCACACTGGCTGCCGCCCCTGCTCCTAGGAACTATCGAAAAGTTGTGTAACCATGAAGATTTCATACAGTAACACAACTATTCAATTACATGGTATTTAACATCCCTACTCTGGGGTCCCACCACCACCTACAAGGTCGTGGGGGGTCCCCTCCAGCTCTTGGCCCCACAGGCATCAGGGGGACTCTGCAGCTGCCAGATGCTGATTCTGAAGTCACAGAAGTTGCTGGAAGTCACAGATCTTGTGACTCTCTCAAGCTCCATGAAAAAAATTCTAGCCGTACTCATTAGGCCAGAAGAGTGTTAGATGTCTGCCCTTCATCTCAGCACTAAATGCCAACCTACTTTGATCAGTCTTTCAGGCACTAAAACCCACTCAAACATACTTCCTTCAAAAGGTTAACACTTTACTGACATCTGAAAGCAGTATATTCAATTACTCAATTCAAACACTCCTTATGCCAAGCTAGTGCATTAGTCTTTAGGGCTGAATGTTATGGGCCTGACCCAAAAACCAGTGAACACTTTTGGTGAGCTCAAAATAGCCCCAATTCATACTGACATCAGCACCTTGCACGATCATGTTCCAAGTCTGAACCTGGGACAAAAATCCTGGCAAGACACTCTAATGGTAAGTTCATCATTATCACATTACAGACATCACAATGGACATAAAATTTAATTTACTGTCTGGATACTCCAGCTGTAAGCGGCCACTATATGGTAAATAACGTATACAAGCACATTAATTGATCTGGTTCTTTAGTATGATGTAACTAACTCGCTATATATCAAATGAGTGCAGTATATCACTGTCCTACTCAGAAATAAAACTAACTCATGCAGATGGAGAAGTTTTAGTTTCCAGCTTTCTTACACATGAATGCACTCTCCAGCCATCATACTTAACTGAAAAAGTAGATCAGAAATTAGAAATAGCATCAAGACATTTCAAATGAAGCCCACAAATCCATAGACTGTTCTCAAATGGTCTGATTACAAGATGACATTTAAAAGTTGGAAAGTAGGTTATCTATATCCAACCTCCTTTATATACTAGCTTTTCTTCTCATACAATTTATTGTTCAAGTTTTTTAAGCTAATTTTTCCTTCAGTTCATCTCAATACTTAAGAACCTTAGGTTCAATTCTGCTCCAGCTGAATTCAGGGAAAATGTCTACTTAATGAAATAGGAGCAGTAGGCATTCTTCTAGATCCTAGATCACGCAAGTCACTGAGAAAGCATTTTTTAGTTACAGAGAAGTGAAATAATGGGTAGTACAAAAATAAGCAGTAATGCTTGTACCAAACAGTTTTATCAATGTACTGCAACTGACACCGTCTCAGTCTGTTTTATCACTGCACCATGACAATATTATTTCTATTGTGACAAATTAATTTCTGTTCTGTTCAAAATATATTCAGATCACCCAATTCCCAGCCAAATGATCATGCCTTCTCTCTATATTTATACAAACAATTCAAAGAAGTCAAATTAAATTATGTCAACCCCACCAAAAAAACAGGGAAGAAAGAAAGGGTTCCTCCTTGCTATAGGTGAACTTTGGTGTATCTGAAGAAGAACCTCAGTTACCAATATATGGGATAAAATTTCTCCCCATACTACAACAAAAGAAACAACTATGTCCTACATAATCATTAATGAAGGGTGACTCAAAGAAGTACAGTATAACACTAATGAGAATACACCTTCCAATTTGTGAATGCCATAAACTCACCAGTCTTTCTGTGAAACATTTTTGTTGTAAATATTGCCAGGATGATCTTTGTAAGGAGGACATATGCATTTACATCGGACATCCTCAAAATTCTGTAAAGAAAACACATTCTTAGAACAAATCATTACCAACCATCAAAAAAATCTTTTATGGAAATATATAGTTGATGCAATACATATTCTATATTATACTACAACATATGTCCATTGCACCCAGGCACTTTTTCTTAAATGTAAGAACTTTTAGCAGTTTTGGGGACAGATGACAATTTCTAGAAAACAGACCAATTTCCCAAGCAACTGTATTTACTTTGGACTGCAACAGTAGCTTGCCTTTTCTATTTTGCTTTGGAAGAACAGGCTGAATTTGTAAAATATACTTTGTTTTCTATAAAAAAAATTCAAGAGTTAAATAGATATTCCTGAATTAATCAATTTGTGATGGTATCTATATAATGAAGATACAGAACAGTTTAAGAAGAATTATGGAAGAAATATTCATCTTGAATGAAGAATGGTAAAGACTTGGACAAATCTTTCTTCACTGACTACTGTTCTTACTTGAAAAAGAAAGGCTTGTAGGGGAAATTGTTAGACGGATCACCAGAATGCTCTAGTTTTAGGTGGATGAGAGTGACAGTGGCAAGGAGGTCACAGTGGAAGGTGGAAAGGGGAAATATCAAAAGACATTCTGCTCCCCAAAGAAAGGGGAAATTGGAATGCTTGCAGAAAAAATGAAACGGAGAAAGTAGTAATAAAACCCAAGGAAGCACAAGAGTAAAATTACAAAAAGAAGGGAAATAAAATTAAGTTTACTATGGCACGGGGCAGTTGTAACTGAGGTTTTCATATTGTAGTTTATTATTACGTTGGGAACACAAAGCCTCCCGTACATTACCTCCTATTCGCTAATATACATAGGGAGGAGAAATCCCTCAAATCCATACACACAAAATTTTGAATGGGTCAGAGATGATATCATTTATAAATATCTCATAAGTATATCATGCATAAACACAAATCAGATGAATTTATTTGGGAAAGTGACGGGAAGCCAGCAAAAGCAAAATGGGTAGTTTGCTTGAAAAAAAATTACTTGAATTTCAAAAGTATTGCAGAAGAGACTACTAGCTAAAAATAATTGACAACAAACATGTACAATGAATAAAATCCCAGTTTGGTCAATGACCTCAGAGTAATGGTACATTAATTTAGCTTGATTGATCAGAAAGGCATAAAGCATGCTAGAGCCAATCTTGATCAGAATGCAGGCCAGCCACCTGCAAAAGATAAGAAGTGCTGCATGTTTATCTCTCATTGCATGGAAGTTGGAGGACTAACTAATATAAAAGGCAAAATATCTGGATAAAATGGGAACCCTTGGCTCACAAAGAGTATTCACAGCTAGATAAAAATGACAAAGATTAATGTTATAAATGGTCACCTGCTAGAAGATACTAGCCATCAGCAGAGCACCTAAAGAAACTTAGATAAAAGAAAATCAAGACAAACTAGATCAAAGAAACAGCACAAGATGGAAGAGATCACAATGGAATCTTAGAAGACTAGAGAGCTTATACTCGGAATAATGCATAAAACTAGTACACCAAGATACAAACAAATATTGAAATAAGAGGTATGTGAGAGACACCTATATATATCTTTATACTCTTTGATAGATATGCGTCCACTTGTCCTCTTATTTTTGACAGATTCACTTTGGCACTGCCTCAATACAGAATGTCAGAGCCAACTAATTTATTAAATACAATATTTACATGCAAGATTAACTCAAGCTTAAATTTTATGACAGGTAAACAAGAAGAAAATGTCTATTAGTCTATTATTCATGTCAAACTGATTTTTTCTGGTCAGTACACCAGAATATAAAAAGCTTCATTTAAAAAGCTAAAGCCATCCATCATTTTACCAGTCTTGTATACAGACTGTAATGAAGAATCAGCTTGTCTACCAATTAAATGATGGCAAATTTACTTTCTTGCTTGAATAAGCTCAAGTCATCTTTTAAATCTGATCTGGTGTGCACAACAAATTCTTCACATCCTAGTTCAGGTTTAGCCAAGACCCTTCCACCAGAAAAACAAATATAAGCACTTACTCTGGTAAGGAGACCCATATATCTGTTTGCCTGAGCATGTGGTTCAGTTACAGACCAATCAATTAGCTGGCAATGGTTCTCTGCCAAAGGAAACATCTCTTCACACTAACTCAGTTTTCTATGCCTTCAGCGAGTTATGCTGGTTTAATAAAAATTAAGATTAAAATTTACTCTGGTTTATGCCTACATAACCATACAAGAATACAGGTCATGATGTAGAACCTGATGGATACAACTAGGTTAGGAAAACTAAGACAAACTGAAGACAGGAAAAGGAGATGGGTGTCAAAGATTTCAACGAGAAATTGTGTAATTCAATAATAAAGAGGGAACAAATAATAACGCTTGATTGTAAGGGTGACTGAGAAAAAGGCACAGAAAATGCAACAATCAAGACTTTTGAGGGGAGTGTAGGGAGAGAAGACTGATTTAGTGTCTGATATCAAAAGCTATTAGGGATGGAGTGAATCATGCCGCTCCATGGGTGCCCTCAGATAGTCACTCCAATGCACCCCAGCTGTCCAGAGGCTCGCCCCACGCCGACACTTCCACATACTTGACGCCACCTTGCCAGCCAGCGCCCTGACTGAAGAGGTCAGGCTTTGCTTTCCTGCACCACGGCAAGGCAAACCCAGGCCCCTAACGCCAGGCTCCTAGGCACGGGGCCCATCAAATCCCGATACATCCACTCCGGCCCCTGCTTCGAAAGCCCCGCCCCCATCTGCGGCCTCCGCGGCAGCAAGAGCCTGGCCCAGCCAGCTGAGAGTTCCGCCCGGCCACTGGGGGGGGGTGGCCCCGGGGGGGCCCCAGCCGGTAGCCCCGACGCCTCACCGCTCCGCTCACCTTGGCCCCCGTCACCAGCCCCACGAAACCGGCCAGGGCCAGCGCCGAGCCGAGCAGCCCGCAGAGCCCCGCCCCCCCTGCCATGTTGGGCTCCGGGCCCGGCTCCTCAAGGCCGCTGGACCAGCCCCCAAGGCCCCGTTCGCAGCTCCGCTACCATCACTTCCCGCTTCCGCTACGGGTTGGCGTCACGTGACGCCGAGGCCTTGGCGCCATGTTGGGCTCCGGGCCCGGCTCCTCAAGGCCGCTGGACCAGCCCCCAAGGCCCCGTTCGCAGCTCCGCTACCATCACTTCCCGCTTCCGCTACGGGTTGGCGTCACGTGACGCCGAGGCCTTGGCTACGGGACCCCCCAGGGACTACAGCCCCGCGCGCGCGCTC